GCCGTAGACGTTTACATTGTTTGACACCTTTCTCTAGCCACTGGATTAAGTATGAAGCGACGTCCACTTTTCATAGACATTCAGGTGTGGGCTATCGGAATTCGATCTCATAAGTTTGGCCTCTTGCCAGGATCTCTGGAAAACCTACATGGATTTTCTAGAAACCCCTTAAGTTCACCAAAAAATTATAATTTGCATGGTTGGAAAGAACACAAAGTTCTGAACAAAATGATGTATCTCTCATAATTTTAGCCACAGGCTTAAAAAGTGAGAAAGTAACACATTTTCAAGCGAAAATAGTCTACTATCAAAACCTAATCTTTGATTAATCGAATTAAGGAAAAGCTGAAAAATTATGAGACATACATCATTTTGATCAGAACTTTGTGCGCTTTCCTACTAGCGATATGTATGTCATAATGGTAACATACCATCGGGGTGCTGTGGCCACATCACAAGCATGGTGTAGTATCTTTGACTAACTCACTACGATGCGAAGAATCTTCATCGAATGTAGCAATGTGAGTAAGCAGTTATCTCTTGTGCTCTAGTCTCGACGATACTGTTCAAGCCATCATTCTCATAGCCATTGTCGACAGACGGGTGACTGTCCTTGTTGGTTGTATCTGATTTTGTCTTTTTCCTCTAATAACAACTAAAAATAATTTACTTGTTTCCATGCGTATGTCTTTCGATGTTAAAAACGATGTATAAAATATCGATGCGAAGCAACAACCCAAACTCAACTGTCCGATTGATATAAATAATGAATCCAAAGCTAATTGTACTGTTGATTTTGGTGCATTATATATAACTGCATATAAACGCTGTAGACAATATGGCGTTGTTGACAGAACAGTAGCACATATGTGGCTCAAATTCAAACGTATTAATTGTCGTTCTAAACTACGTTGACGTTGATGTAATTGTGTTAAATTTCGATATGTTAACACTCCCAAAACACCAACCAGCATATTGGGGAAGAGACAGACAAGTGCAGGTGCAGCAAAATAATTTAGATACAACTGATAGTCGCTGGATAAACAGGCACATTGGCCATTACTGCCAATATTATAGGCGATCAAATGCGGTATACATATGACTAACCAAAAAAGTAAATTAATCATAATAAATCTGTGTACATATTTCTTTCGCGTCCATTTTCGTTCTTCAACTTCTCTTTTTGTTGCTGTATATCGATCAAATGAAGCGAGAACAAATAAATACATGAAACATAGTAATAGATACTGATTAGAATATGCACGAAATTTACATAAAAATCTCGATTGTGTTGTGAGATCAATACCAAATCCATTAATAACTACGCGTGATAATAATGTATTTAAAAGATAAATTATACTCAATAATGACAGTGTTAAAATGTAATGACTATATGCTCGACGGTTCAATTTTGGTGAATAAAAAAATAAAAGAAAATAAATCGTTGAACCAATAATTCCTGTTGTAATGAAGAATAAGCCAACATAAATTTGTAACTGTTTAGTTATAAAATTGATCGATGCACTAGTCGAAGTCATTACTTTACTTCTAAAGTGTTGTAAGCAGGTATTTATAAGCTGAAAATCTTCTTTTTATCTTTCTGTGTATCAAGTAATCAACAAAAGAAAGGTGTCATAAACAGAGTCTTGTTTTAAGATGATGAGAAGTCAATTATTTAACGAAAGTAGACTGACGACAGTTGTGTTATGAGAACGTTTCCATCAATCTTTAAAATAACGAGTATTGTAGCATATAACCAAGACGGATATTGGAGTTTTATTAAAAATTTTCTCATTAAAAGGAAACTCCTGTTAGCAATTTTTTGGAAAAGTAGTGCTCGATTCAAAGAAACTGTAAATAAAAAGTGTAGTCGAATACGTAGAAATGT